CCCCCCCCCCCCCCCCACCAGGAGGCTATTATCCAAATAATGAAAATGAGGAAGAAAATTACTAATGCTCAGCTTCAGACTGAACTGGTAGAAATATTGAAAAATATGTTCTTGCCACAAAAGAAAATGATAAAAGAGCAAATTGAATGGCTTATAGAGCACAAATATATCAGAAGAGATGAATCGGATATCAACACCTTCATCTATATGGCATAATTTGAAGACTGTAAGATGCCGAGAACAGATGCAGAAGGGTGCTTCAGCAGACAGCTGCAACAGTTTGTGCTGCAGAAGGACTCATTTTGACTTGCATTACATATTAAAATCCCTGCCTTGCCTTACAAGAGGACTATGTTTTGCCAATCTCATTCAGCTAGCATGATGGCATTCCCTTCATGTTGCACACTTTTAACAGCATGCTGTTTTTGTGGGGAAACTTGCATTCATGAAGAGCCCATTGTGAGCTTTTTAAAGTAGATTTGATTTACACCCACCAGGAAGAATACAGGTTTGGGTTTTTAGATGAACAGTACTTGCACAAGGAAGTTACTCGAATATTCATGCACTGAGGAACTGCTATTAGTTTTGTTTTTAAAAAAAATGCAATTAGGACTAGAAGTAGCACTTTCACTTTGTGTTTTTGGATCAACAGAGTAACATGCTGTCCACCTTTTGGTCCTTTTTTATGTATAACATTTGAGAGACATACACAGATGCATCACAGCTGATGACATGTATTTGTTACAATAACAACCTGTTGGCTCAAGCAGTGCTTCAATATAGTAACTGGATTTTTAATATTGACACACAAGTGATGTAAACATATTTCCAACTTGTGGATGTCTTTTTTTTTTCCTTAAGCAGGAGATCACTGTTTTATATTGTTTGCTGTAAACATATGGATATACATTATTTGTTATCTTGCCTGGACAGATGGTTTATTACAATCCGTTTTGAAGAGGTGAAGCTTCCTTAGTAGTGAGTGATTCACCTTAAAAACCATGTTTCATGGCTGGGTCTGTTTATGGTGAACAGAAATATTAAGTGTATTCCATTGTACATTTAATATTTTTCAGATGTTTAAGTATGACTACATAATCTGAATGCATTAAAAAATTGATGAACAACTTCCCCAAATGAGCAAATAACACTCTTAAAGATCCCTGTGTTAAATTTTTCACTGGTATACATGTATAATAGAATCACATGTGGATATTCTGGTGCTTTCACTGTTGAAAAGTCAAATCTCTTTTAAAAAAAACAAGCAAGCTGCCCTGTAGTCAATAGGAGTTGAAAATGACCCCTGAAGGAAACCTGCAAAGGCTTCATGGAGTTTCTGGTTTGCAGTTTTTATGTAGAAAGATTGTATCAAAATACCTGTTGTGTATTTGGCATTTCAAATGGTACCTCTTTGTCCTTTTTCAACAATCTTGAGTAACCAGTTGGCAGTAATTTACCACCAGTGTTCTGAAATGTCCCAGCATGTTCTGGCATCATGACATCAGTACCATTGGAATAGGGAGTCTACCTTTTGGGGTGAAAAAAGAAAAAAGGTAAGTCATCATCTTTTACTCAGTGTGATTTGAATACTCTTGTTTTTAATGTGCCACGAGGCAGGCCTGCAAAATTATCCTGAAAATGCTACTAGCCTAGGTACAGTCTATTTTATCTTATATGGTAAATAAAATGGCAAGAGAGGATGTTCAGTTGTTACAAGAATTGAAAACTTGCCCTAAGCGAGTGGGGATCGGAATTTTTGCATGGTTTCTGCAATGGGTAAAGTAAGTGTTTAAAAAAAATCTTCTCTAGATGGATATTTCCTCCCCTTCAAGCAGCTACATGTTCTAGCACTAAAGAATGGGCCAATGTGAGTTCCTTGGAACATTGCATTTTTGAATAATTTTCTGAAGAAATCTTCAGTTCTGAGATCAGCATCATGAGCAAGCAAGAGGGAGGAAAAAATGAGACACTGAAATCTTGTAGCTTGCATTTCTTTATTGATCTTCATAAATGGATAATATTAACAAATACATTTTACCCTTTTATGTTAGCACTGAAAGATCAGATTCGTAGCCCTACAGTGTTTCAAAATCAAAAGTTAATGGTGCTTTTTAGTTTGGCAGCAACACACTTTCCACTATTTTCACAGTTAAAAGTTAGTTTTAATAATGGAGATCTTTCTGTACATGCTGCAATATTTTCAGCATTTGTGACTTGATTTTAAACTATAGCTAATTAAATTCTCATTTAGGAATACTAGGAAAGGGATGGCAAAGCCATAAACTTAAAATATTTTAAGGATGTGCTGAGCATTTGCGGTTTCCAGTGTTTGACGAGAGAAAATAGCCATGATACACTGTCACGTGCAAACAAGCTCAATATGAAACTAGGTAGTCCTGATTCCTAAGCCCTTAGCTAAGTTTAGGGAAGAAATTTGAGATTGACTTTCATAAACTTATGTACCAATTGTTTGTACATTTAAGACAGCAATAAATTCTTACATGCTAGCTATCTGCATACCTCCCCACACACCTAGACTCGCTTCTTTTTTTTAATTACAACTTTCATATTATTTAAACGTTCTTCAGTGTTTGGGCAGGGGAATTTATAATTGACAATGTACCTGTGGCATTGTTCAGTTTTCTTTAAGTATATATAGGAAAACATGTTATGTTTTAAAAAAATGGAATCTGAAAATCACACCAGCAATTTGCTAAAGATGCAGAATCATATTTAGCATCCTTCATCAGGTCACTTTCACCAAAATGCACTTAAAGCTAGCGTTACTTGGGCATGGGGAGATATGCAGGGTGAAGTGTCTCAAGGGAGGGGAATGTTCAGATCTAAATAAAAAAGAGATGTTCTTCACTTGCAATATGGCAATGATGCACTTTTTTAAAGTTGAATTTTTAGCTGTGAATAAATATCTCCAAAGAGCTAGCTTAACAGGTGCTGCATCTGAAAAAACATGTTGCCACACACTGCCATGATGAGTAGGTATGGAATTAACATATAGAAGTGAAAATACAGAAAGTGATTTATCTTTCTCTGTAGGAGTTTCATTGAGTTAAGAAATATTGGTAAATCCTTCTTTGTCCCAACAACTGGATAAGGTTTCAATTCTGAAGTCTTCCATTTTTCCCTTTCTACTGTTGGTGTCCCTGATATTTACTTATCTAAATCTCTTGCATTTATGTTTGAGCATAGTTACATTTCCAAAACAAATAAATGGTGGCTTTCTTTTCACCTTTTTTCTTAAATTTAGTATAAAATGTTTTGAATACTCAACATTTTACATTTATTTGCACTGGGATGCCACTGTCCTGTAAGGTGCAAATTTAAAAAAAAAAAAATTACAATTGGGGAAAAAGATTTGATAGTTTTACAGAAAGCTTTGCTATCTTAAACTCAAACTGTTTTTCTGTTTTCATCTAAATGACTGGGATGCTATCTTTGTAAATTCTTTGAGGTCATATTTGTGAAATAAACAATACATGAAAGCTTCCCCGTCATACACTATATGTAGTCTGGAGTGTTGAGCAGACTTGAGTTCCTGAGTTGTAATAACTATCTACATATGATATTTACAATTTTGAATGTGTGCCACTACATACCAAGATGATAATGCTGTACAATTTTGAATGGTAGCAGTTTCTGTATGGCAGTCCAGCTGAACTATTTTGATGTACTGCTTAATTTTTGAATTTTATTTTTTAAGTTGTATAATTTATTTTCTTGCAAAATAAAAATGTAATATAAAAGACTATTCACTTTTTTAGCAAGATATTTTGGTGTCAATCCCTGCAATTTTTTTAAGTTGAAGATAAAGTACTTTTAGGTCATATTTGGAAATACTACTGTGCATAATATAACCTAATTCCAGCTTCCAGTGCCTTTTATGAGGTGATCAGAGGACTAAAAGAAATGAGAGAACAACATTTTTAAGTCTTTTCTTGCATATGTAGTTTTGGGTTTTTTTTGAATATGTGGGAGTATAGTATATGTGAAGCTATTGGAGCTTTCCTATACTTTAGGAAAGTAAATCCTAAAGACTTAAACAAGTGGAATTCAGAAATCCTAACCAGGCACCTAAGTTCCTTTTACAATACATTAAGTGGTGAGTAAGAACAAATAAATTAAGGGGAGGGTGTCTGAAATCCTGTCTCCTACACTGCAAATTGGACTTGGACACCTATGTGAGACTAGGGTTTACAGCCTGAAACACTGTGCTGCACCTAAATCATCCCTTTGGGCATGGGCAACTAGTTCACTCCTTTCTCCTGTAGCACCGCTGGCTGAGGAGGAGGTGAGTGGTGACTATATAGTTAGAGTGGACATTGGCAACTGTTTGGAGCAGTGGGCCACTTCAAAGGTAGACAGTCACTTCTGACTGATTGGCTGGCATCGCTGCTGCTGTTTCTCCTGCTACTAGTGCTAACCTCCCACAGACTTGCCACAGATTTTTCCTGATGCCAGGGTGCCCCAAACACCTGGACTTGTGGATTGGATCCAATTGCTCGGCAGGCCAGACACAGGCCATGGACTGTAGGTCTGGAATAGAGCACTTGTCCAGGAAGTGAAAGACTTTGGGTGCCTGTGCGTGACCACAGAGGCTGCTCCGACGTGCTATAATTACAGTGTATCGGAGCAGATTCAATTAATCGAGCCTGCTGGAGTGTGGTAGCAGGCATCAGCATCCCCATGCTTAAAAATGACGGCAGGGGCACTTGAACTAAAGCTTCTCAAAGAAGCTTTAATTCAAGTGCCCCTGCTGCCATTTTTAATCCATAATGATAAAAACATTCTGACATTGTGGTCTGCCTGAATCCTTCGTAACGGAAGAATTGCTCTTATTTTTTTTCTGTAGTCAGTATAGTCACTGCTTTAGGCTTTGCTGTTCTGCTTCAAGTTGTGCATAGTGCTGTGCAACCAAGAATGCAAAATCCACAGGGCCAGAGCCACAGCAAAGAACATGGGAGCACTCTATAGCCCAGTAATAAGACCACTCCCCTTGTGGGGGGGAAGAAGCCTGGTTTTCAGTCTCCACTTCCAATATATGTATTTAATACAATAACTTATTAACACACAGTACATAAATAGTCCATGGAGCAGTGACCAGAATGCAGGTATTCCCCCACTGTCAGGTGGATGTCCTTATCACTGGGTTTTTTCAGATGCATGTTCCATCATGAATCTGGAATTCTTTGCTGTCCAGTGGTCTGGCTTCCAAAAGGAAGGGGGAGATTGCTTCTATCTTAGTTTGGTTTACAACTCAGTGGTTAGCATTCTCTTGGGAGGTGGAAGATGTGGTTTGCAGCCCCCTCAGGCTGAGGAGAGCCTATAACTCAGGTCCCCATTCTCTGGGCAGGTACTGTAATCAGTAGGCAAGCACAAAATGTGGTCAGTGGCACTATCTCCTGTTCTGGTTTTTTTTTGTTTTTGTTTTTGTTTTTTGTTTTGTTTTTTTGTTTTTTTGTTTTTAATTAACATAGCTTCAATTCATGTGGGTGAAGTATGTCCCGAGCATTTACCTGTGACCCCTGTGGGGCATGTGCAGGGAATCTAAAATGGCATGGGACACACGAGGAGTGCCAAGCTGCTTTGCTCTGCCAAGATAGCAGCGTGGCTGGACATGCACAGGAGCTGAACTTTCAAGTACATAAGTTTTCTGGCAAAAGTGTAGGTGTCTACAGACTCAAGTGCTGAAGTATTATGGCAGGGACTTTATGTATTGTTCCCTTGGGCTTAGGCATCTACATTCTTCTAGATGTACATCAGATGCTTAAGTGCTTTTTTTCCCACTCTTTAATCACCTGGCATTCCTTTTTAAAAATTAACTGTAACTTCACAAGGGAAGATTTATGAAATTGGGAAATGTGGCAGAAAGTTCTCATTGTGGCTCAACAATTTTTACTGCATATATTTAGTTGATCATCTTTTTTAATTGTATGCACCTCCATGAAAGCCTTTGGCACATCTTTGACTGCTAGATACTTCCCAAAATACCTCACACAGCAGAATCTCAGATCATAACTTTTTTTGATTATTTGATACCGACAAGTTGAGGGAACCTTTTGGACGCTGATACTACATGCATAACATAAGTCAAGGTGCAGGAAAACAACACAGGCACTGTTACTGCTGTGATGGGGGGGTGTTTATTTGCCTGTCATTGCCTTCTTGCCTGATTTTAATTATTTAAAGTGCACCATGTTCTTCAGAATGTCCTATGCCTTCTGGTATTTTCCAAGTTCATAATTCTTTCCACTGAATGCTTTTTTTTTAATAATTCAGTGCTCGTAGCTATTTTCAGACTGCTTCTTATAGACAGACACCTTCACACCCTGCTGCCAATTCTTCTCAGCTGTTTAGTAGAGCTTGCTGCTGGGGGTCCATTGCTTGTCCTGTGAAATCTTTTGGCAGTACATGTCTGCTACCCCCTGCCAACTAGTCAGCTAAGCATGATGGTGATTTTTGTGTAATTTATGTACTAGGTATATTTTTATTAAAAATGCCAGTATTGTAAGCATTGGGTAGAAACTGTCCTAAACTTCTAACTTGGAACAATTTTCAGAATCAAGCAAGTTATGCAAAGGTGAAGGGATCTCAATTTCAGTCTTATGAACAACTTAGTTCCATAATACATTTGACTGTTCCGCTCTTATTCCTGTGGTATTATATCTAAACTTCCTTGCTACATTTTGGCTAAAGTAGAATTACTTATCATGTGTATTGCCGTGTCACATGACCTTCTACTTCTAAGATCTTACCTAAATTGCATTCTTGGAAACTCTAATCTCTGAAATGTCCCGTGGACAGCAGGAGTCTGATCCTCTGACACAATCTGGGAGCACATGACACTTGGCACCCTCTTCCATTTTTTTCCATTAAGCTTCATTGTATGCTGTGTTCGGTTGCCATGGTGCAAATGCCTGCACTTCATTGGTGTTGGCAGTGTGACTGTGGGCGTCCTAGTATATGAATTGTTTGAAATTGTTCTACTGTTTTATAAAGTGCTTTCAGTGGCTTCTGGATGAAAGGCAAAAGCACTATTGAAAGCATGAGAATTATGTTTAGTTCTTTTAACATCCTTCTTCACTATTGTCATTTTGAAGAGGTTTGGGGCATACTTTGATCTATTCTGATTCACTGATATTCATCAAGTATAAAATTTAAACTCCTTTTTGCTTCCTTAATTCTAGATTTTAGTTTGTACCACAGTCCATAGCAAACTGATGTTTACATAACTCAAATCCCAGTGTAAACTTAGTTGTATTTGAGACATGTCTGCTTCATGACTAAATCTTGGTTTACAATTTGAAGAATTCTTAGATAACTTTATTTTTCTGTTTTAACATAGCTTGTCTTGGGATCTTATCTTCTAGTCCACAGAAATTACTGTTCATTTTGCAGAAAACATTGATAAATTACCTGATACACTGGCTTACCTTTAAGATGGGTACAGAGAGCTTCTCCTGTGTTTCCTAACTCATGCTTCTTTGGTCTTCCAGGTCAAGAATTATTCTAGGGTGGCAAAAGAGACCATAAGATTTTAAAGTATATTCAATTTTAGCAAATGTTTGCTGAATTAGAAAACACTTTTTTTTTTATAAGTGCAGTCTGCATTGCCACATGGCTGTAATGCAACCAAGAAATTGAATGAGACCTGTAAACTTGGCTTTTGTTTGTAATTTTGGTTCATTTCATAATCTAGTATT